ATCCACAACTCCAGACGCACTCAAGTAAACAAAAGCCGAGGTCTATGTGATGAAGGTGAATACAAGCGCCAACTCTCAAGTTAGAAGACCGAGGCGAATAAATGAACACCTGTAACAAATAACACCACGCTCAACAAGTTTCCTGCCGGCATTAGACTAGGAGCAGCAGAAGTGGATCCACAGCAGTCGCCGCTATAGGTAACGTTGTTCATCTGGGCTGCTACTTCAAACACAGAGCCATTGAAATTGCCGTAGTTGTAATAGTCGACGAGGAGGAAGTTGGGGGGACGATTCCACAAGGCTATTAACAGGTTAGAGCCGGACATCCTTTCCTTCTAGCGATTTGACTAGCATGAGAAGAACTTACTAGTGCAGTTCTCGGCCATTCGTCCGAGACTACCCGGCCCGGACACGGCATTCGTCTGGTTCAATTCCGCAGTGTTGGGGATGAGCAGGTCGACATTGGCAACGTTGACATCGACGTTCAGATTGTGGTTGGCCATGTACAGGCGATTATGAGCATCCTCGTTGGAGAGACCAGGGGGACGCTGAACGGTGCAAGGGAAAGTCGGGTCGGTTGGCGAGAAAGGCGTCTCCCACATTTGGGAAAATTCGTCCATGAGCCATGGAAAAGCAGTTTGGTTGGCTTGATAGTCCATAAACACGACGGCTCTCTTGCCGGACAAAATCATGGTCGACAAAGTTGGCCAGTCGTCCAGGGCCATGGGAATCTTCGGAGGCGTATAGACCAGATCGGACAGGCCCGAGTCCTCGATCGGCTTGGAGAAGTTTGCCGGAGCGGCATAGTCGTAGTTCCCGATAAGAATGGTGACCACGTCGTACGGGTGCTGTCTTATCCATTGGGTGACCGTGGTGAGGTAGTCAGTCAGGGTGCCCACGTAGAGTAGGTCACAACTGGTATGACAGAGATACATGGTGCCATTTTCATAGTGAGTCTGGAATTGCACTGTATGGGCCCCGTGTGTCAGGTTAGCGGTCGGTCTCTCGCAAGGACATGTTCTTCAAGAGTACATACGCATCCGGATACCGTCGTTCAACTGACTGACCACCCCCAATGCTTGGTTCGCAGCAGCATTGCCTGGTTTGACAAAGGGACTGTTGTGAGCAGCCACCATGGTGATGTTTGAGTACTTGCGAGCACAGAATTCGGGATGGCCATTGCAAGGTTGAGTGTTGACAACGGGAGATGCCGAAGCCGACGCCGACGCAGTCATAGTGGCATTCGCCGTGGCATTGCCGACCAGTCTCGTCATTGTATCTGTGGAAGTGGTAGGAATGGTCGAATTACCGACAGTGGTAGCGTTAGTCACAGCGGTCGAGGAGCCGACTTTGCCATCGCTGTCGGTGGGAAGAGTACGAGTGGAAGTATACGAGAGATAAGTGCCGGTAGGCAATGTTGCATCACTGACATGATCTGTGATTGTTCCTGTGATGGTGAATAGAGCATTGGTCGTTGTTGTAGTGCTAGTAGCAGAAGTATCTTGTGCAGCCAGCGTCAGGGGGATGGCTGCTGCCGCCAACAGTGGCAGCCAACAGGTTAACAACTGCATTGTTGCTGCGACGACGATGTGGTTCACACAGGTTGGAAACTGAAATCAGATCATATAGGTCGTTCTATCCCAGGCGTTGAAGGCTTAGATTGAGTCTGCAATCTAGTCTTTGTATGTCCCTACCGAGTGGATGAGCTCTTTCGGGCCTGAACCTCAGAGTCCGTCAGCCGACGGTTTGAGAGTTCAACAGGAGAAGCGAGAGAGAGAGAAAGAGGCTGTGGTAAGGTAAGTTTAGGTATCATACCTGTAACGACTTTCCAGAGGCTGACGTAGTGTAAATGTGCCTTACCCTACCAGTACCGAGAGATGCTTGGGACTAGATATGCGTAATTTGAAAAAGTTAATTGAGGCATCCGAAGCCTAAAGGAGCATTACTGAGGACCCACTTGCAAGCCACTGGATAATCAGTGGCTGATCTCAGGCAGATCGTGGCGCTCTTTAGTGGATTATTGAAATAGTACCCAATCACAGATAGCTCTGCTTTAGGCAACTGAAAAACAGAATCCACATAGTGGGGAACTTCGGACTCAATGACGTTGAATTGCATTTCAGGGGCCAATGAAAAACTACAATCGAATAAAGGTAGTTGCAGTGTGCTCCAGTCGTTGTTGCTCAAACAGTCCAGACCGTCACATCCAATTATTGAGATTTTGACCACACTCCAGAGTAGACCCTACTTTAGAGGCCCAACACAAAAGGCGTAAGGGAATGTCCAGCTATATCCGACGCAGGAATCGCTCAGGTTATATTGTCTGAATTGGCGCTATTTCTCTTGTCGGTCGATCAGCAGATTCACGATAATAGCGTAACGACCAGGCTGATCGCTGATGGTAATTTGAAGATCGCTGACGAAAGTGGAGTTTTTCAGCTCAGAAAAAGGGATATTGATTGACAGATAGACAATAGTATCTCGTACTACTATTGGTTAAATCAATATAGCTACCTATCCACTGCGGCACTACCACCAGCCTCCCTCATGGCCTTTTTCTACCTACCCACTCTGAAACTTAGTTGTACACCTGCACCCTTTCCACTAAGTTACTCCCTACGTAGTAGAGAAGTTCGTACGAGTCATCAAGTATTTCCTGGCTTAGCTGGCCGGTATCTATCTGCTAGACTGATGGCAAATTGATGTCTCAGGTGGTCGACTCCCTAGTCCGTGCTTGTCTTGACGCTCTTCATCCGTCAAGTTCCCTTCTCTCGAGATTGATGCTGAAAATCTACTATCCCTCCGTCTCCGTCCCGATTACTATCTCTTTACTATCAATCTTCCGTTCACCATCATTTCTCGTTTTACTTGATTGTTTCCTCTCCTTCTGAGGACGGACATTCCATATTGACTACTTGCCGCTTATCTCTTCGATGGATGTCTAACGTCATTCGTCCTACGTCCCTGCACTAGGTCTGCATCATTGGGCTTCCACAATCATATAGATATTTCCTATTATTACTCCCATCCGTATTACAAGTTGCTTTGATATTGTTCTTCTCAATCTTGATTCTCAGGACGCCTAACGACCACACGCTAATCCGTCTCCCCCGAAGCTCTATACTTATTCCATGGCAAAGCTACCAGCATTCCAGAGACGGTCAGAAGGGCCCGTTTACGGCCGGTCTCGGTCGAAGGTGCTTTGGCATCGGATCATACGCTCTTTACTCTATCTGATAGCCTGGATTTTCTTGCTTCTGGTCGTCATTGGCAATGTTTTCGACAAACCAGTTCTCCGAGAGATCTACTTTCTCAAGATCGATCTATCAAACATCGTTCCTCTGTCCGTCCCAAACGCCGTTCTCATAAACAGTATTGCCAGAACTATCGGTCTTCATGACTTCTACCAGGTGGGGTTATGGGGTTTCTGCGAAGGATATATGGACTCTGGGATCACCCGCTGTTCCAAGCCAGAAACCCTATATTGGTTCAACCCGGTCAAAATCATCCTTAGTGAGCTGTTGGCGGGAGCTAGCAGTAGGTTATCCCTCTCCATCTCAAACTGTTATTTATCGAATGTGCAATGTTAACGTCAGTTTCTCCTCTCGCTCATAGTTGCACTCCCAAATGATATCACCGATGCCCTCAAAATCGCTCGCCTCGCTTCTCACTGGATGTTTGGTCTCTTCATCACAGCCACTGTCCTGACCTTCATTCTGATCTTCCTCGTTCCATTTGCCGTCTCCTCTCGTCCTCCTCAGACAATCTCGCCTGATCCTAGTGTCAACCATTTGCACCCTCCGCACCGGCGGCGCACCTTCGTTTTCCTTCGGGCCTTTCCTTTTCTCATCCTTACTTTCCTCGCCGCTCTCTTCACCATTGTCGCCTCAGTCGTTGCCACGGTCATGTTCATCATCTTCAAGAACGTCTTCACATCGTCTGGATACGATCTCAACATAGGTGCCGAATTGGGTATTCGAATGATGGCATTCATGTGGATTGCGTCGGCATTCAACCTCCTGGGTTTTATTGTAGAGCTTGGTTCATGCTGTGCTGCCTGTTGCGGCGGCCGCAAGGCCCGGAAACAGCTCAAGTCTATTAAGCAAACAGAACGAGGGGCTCTGAAGGAAGAGAAGGGCAGTCCCCATAGTCCTTCGACGACCGCAACAGATTGAACTGGGGCTCTACCCCTAAACTCTTTTTCATCGGGATTAAAACCTTGTCGCTTCCTCCTGTGTCTCTCGCGTGGCCCTGACTGGGAACGGAATCTCTCCCGGATTCGGCCTTTGTGCCGGTCAGCGCGAGGGTATAGAAGGAGAGCATCTCTGCTGGGACGCTTCCTTCATGCACCAATTCACCGGTCAAAACTGGCCTTCCGCAAGTGAGATGCTCCAATAAGTGTCAATACTCGACTCGATTACCATGTACATATATACGGGACCTTTTACCTTACACATCATCATTATCTCGAGCCGCTGTGTACGACGTCCTGATCAGCTACGGTGAGATGTGGACTATCAGTTGCAAAGAGCGCGTCAGATCCGGACAGTTTCCACGAGCACAAAGACCATGTGTCTCATCTTTAGAGGATACATAAATGGTGATGTATTCTATTCTTTCTGGAGCTGTAACGATTTTGGGTTTACTCGTTGCTGGACATTCATGAATCATACGACCGCATAACGATTGGCATGATTGCTTAGATTCCAGATTCGAAAGGGATTGTTTGTCTTCCCCATAGATATCTCGATATTTTGAGTTGAGTGGATAGATTATTAGACTTTATTTTGAAATAGAATTATTCTAGTAATGGTGTGCTGATGTCTTCCTTAAATTCATCAAGTGAGTCTACAATATGCAAGTGTAACTCTGATCTGTGCTATGCATGAGGACCCTCCAAGATCCGTTGGACATGGTGTATCGCATGAACGCTTCGACAAAAGATCAAATATGCAGTGTCGCCGTGATAATGACATGGGTATCGAAACTTAAAAAGTCGTTCAGCCTCGCGCCAGCTCCTCCTCCAATTCGTGGAGTAGCTCGTCCTCGACATCCATTTGATTGCCATGGTTAGTATTGGTTGCTGCGTGCATCTCGGGAGGAGGCACGCTGGGCGGCTGATTGTTACTGGAGCGTGGCGCAGGAGACTGCTGGGAGGCCCGAGGCACGGATTCCGAGCGCAGCGGAGGTTGAGGTCCTGCTCGAGCTACCGCAGGCTGTGCGGAACCTGATTTCGCTCTTTCGAGCCAATTGTACTTCTTCTTCTGCAATGATTGAAGAAGCTCACTGGTTGCCTGCGTTGGCTTTAATGGAGCAATCGTAGCTGGATTGGGTGTGATGTTGGGCGCTTCGTCAGTAAGATCAATAGTCACTGTTTCTGGCTGTGGCTCTGCCGGTGCACTAGTCGTGATGCCACTATGCTGCCAATTGCTGTGAGGCGGATTTTGATTAGGCAGGGGGGTATAAGGAGTGCTGGGCGCATGGAAAGCTGACGTGGCGAGTGGTTGAGCAGGTACAGGGACATGGTTTGGCGAAGAGGCAGGACCTGGCATGGGATGCTCTGAAAGAGGCAAGGCGGGAGAGCTCGCAAGATGCTGGCCGAGTGCAACAGATTGCGGATGCGTAGCGGGTCGGTACCCGCGCGGAATGGGAGCCACGGCAGGCATTCTCTTCTGAACCTGGATCTCATAGAGGAGGTTGTTGTATACAACACTGAGATCATGTAGTCTGCCTTTCCAGATCTCTATTTCTTGCTTGTACTGCTCCGCTCTTCTTTGGTGTTGGGTGGACACGCGTCGCAGCGTCGCGTTTTCCTCCTCGAGTATCTGTGCCCTCGACTTCCCTGTTGATGCTTCCAGTGCTGTCCATTTAGACCACGCATCCCTGTATTTGTCTCTTTCATATTTGAGATGCTGAACTTTGTATTTGAGATGCGAAAAGCGGGCATTGATCTGGTCATTGGCGATCTGAATGCACTTGACGTGAATACCTGGAGCTGAGGGAAGATAGCCCAAAGGTCCATGATACACTGGATATGGAGATGTGTATTTAGGTTCATGATCAACTCGCTGCAGAGTCTCACGGTCGGCATTGGCAAGGACATCTTGGGTATGGAGAGAGAACTGTCGCTTGGTCACTTCACTTGTGGGAAGTGATACGCCCACAGCCTCATGATCGAAAGTCACCTTGTCAGCAGCTTGCACCTGGACATTGCCACGAGAATTCAAGCTCGGACTACGAGACGCATCATACGGAGACTCCGCGCTTGCAGAGTGAAGTGTTGGTCTCTTCTCAGAGGAATACTCAATTCCAGATAGGTTCGGTGGAATGTGGAAGGCAGGATCTTCAAATAGATGATCAAACGGGTCAAAAGGAGGCGCGGATATTTGCGACTCTGCAATACCACCTGGTGTGTTGGGCACTGTTTCCAAATGATCTAACTGAATAGTGTCGGGCGAGGAGAGAGACGGTGTTGCATCCAGAGAAGGCGCACAGGAGCTTTGTAGTGAATCTGGCATCAATCGTTTCTCAGGCCTATGCCACAATTGGAAATCATCAGCCAAGGCTTCGTCGGCGGTCCGTTTCAAAGACGAGGAATTCGCGTCGAAATTGGGCATCACAAAGTCGGGACCAAAGAGAGGATCGTAGAGCGGATCATCCGTATTTGGCGTAATGTTCGAGCCCAAGGGCTGTGGAAGTCTGCTCTGCAATGTGGCATTTGTGGCAACCTCAATCGATACGACTGGACTGGCGGCTTGACTACCGGGAAAAGGTGGCCCAACTTCGTTATTCGATGAACTCTCTTGTCTCAACAGAGACGGGTCGTCGGGTGTGCCCTTGCGTGGGCCTCTTGTCTGATCATTGTAGTTGGACCCTGCGGGCTGACTGGTCATTGGTATCCTCGCATCTTCGTCGGATGAACCGTGCTCGTCAAGCAAGGGGTGCGGTGGAGTGACATTGGTAGGTTGTAGCAGCTGCGACCCAGGGGGAGGTGTAAGCCCCAGATCATTCACATGCATATCATGATAAGACGGGGGAGTTGGCAGATCCTCAGGAGCAAAAAGGCTCTGAGGGTCATATGGTTGCGAAAATAGAGGGCAGGTCGGGAGAGAGGTAGAAATACCTTCAACCACGCTTCCTTCCATCTCGACCTCAGAAAGCCCAAGACACCCGGAAGTCAAAACCAGGGCAGCACAAAACACCACAGGTATGAGCTGCTGGAGCGGTAGCTCAAAACTTACCCGTTGGTTTCATGCGGCGGATATTGAAGTTGCGAGGCACTGACGTCGCTGAGGCGTAAGTGATGTGGCGAGCAAAGTAAAATGAACAGGAAAAGCACAAAGAACACCGTACCACATAAGAACTGATGAAGGCTACAGTTGAACAGAGAGCAGATGCGTATGCTCACGCCGAGTAGCTGTACTCTGTGTTCAGCCGCTTGTGCCACTCTTGTTGTGCCTCAGGTAAACACAGATGATTATGCCAGAGGGCACTGCTCAATCACACAGCAGCTGACTGCTAAGGACCATGTAGCGAGATATGCAAGGTACCGATAGTAGAGAACGAGAAAAATAAGAAATTCTCGGGATGGAGCGATCAGGCGAGTTCGAGTTCAATGAAGTCAAGTCAACCAGATCAGACTCGGACAATCAAGCAAGGAGAGCCAGGTGTCATTTTAGGCGTGTAATAAACGGCAACCAGGGCAAGCAGAGTCCGCTATGCGCAGAAGCAAGGTAATAGAGTCCGCAGTCCTTCAATAGGATAAAGGAACCTGAAGGGATATATGACAATATGGAGCCGGAGAGGTGTCGTAAAAGTGAAGCTGGAACAAAACAACAACTGCTTTTTTCCGATCTGATAATGGCATTCCGCCTTGTTCACCGCCTATACAACCGCTCACGTGCCATCTCCATGAGCTATTGCACTAACCCCAATTAGGACTGCAATCGGTGGTTAAAGGCCGGCAGGAAGAGTACCTCTCTTAACATCCCAATACTCTACTTCTCCCCTCACCCGCAACGACCCAACGAGGGCTCTCAATCATCCAGCATCCTCGAAGAAGATTTTTGAGTACTGCATTCTTGTAACTTACTCATAATGAGCGTCATTCTTTGTACTGGTAAGTAGGGCTCGGGAAGATTTCGCAATCTCACACTCTGTCGGAGCTGCATGACTGACGTAGTTGTTGTGGGATGTCGTAGCGGGCTATGATCATACAATTCGGTAGGCGAAGCGAATGCTTTTCGGTGCTGCTGATTCTCTAGGGAATTGTGCGCTGATCTGTCTGGAATAGATTTTGGGAGGCCCTCTCAGGAATATGTTCGCGGACAATTCAGCACCCTGACTCTCAAGTCAATCGTCTCTGCATCACTCCCGACAAGCGCTACCTAGCGGCCGCGGGACACAACAATGTCAAGCTCTATGATATCAAGTCAACCAATCCGAATCCAGTCATGACATTTGACGGTCACACGAACAACATCACGGGGGTCGCATTCCATTGTGAGGGGAAGTGGATGGTTACCAGCTCTGAGGACGGGACGGTGAAAGTATGGGACACTCGTACTGGAAGCTTGCAGCGCAATTACGCACACAAATCTCCAGTCAATGACGTGGTGATCCACCCCAATCAGGGTGAGCTAATTAGTGGTGACCGGACTGGTATCGTCAGGGTCTGGGATCTGGGGGAGAGCGTCTGCACCCACCAGCTCATTCCCGAGGAGGACGTTGCTGTACAGAGCGTTAGTGTCGCAAGCGATGGCTCTCTCCTCTGTGCAGGGAATAAAAAGGTAACGCGCTGAACTCGGTATTTTGTTGCGTCGTTAGCTAATGAGCACTTGGTTCTAGGGCAATGTCTACATCTGGCGCATGGTCCAGGACGCTGAATTGACTCGGATTGTCCCAATCTGCACCTTCCAAGCTCACAAAGACTATCTCACACGGGTTCTTCTTTCTCCTGACGTCAAGCATTTGGCAACTTGCTCCGCCGACCATACCGCTAAGGTCTGGAATCTCGATCCTGATTTTCCCCCTGCTAAGATGGCAGCGATAACAGCAGCCAAGGCCAAAGCCAACGGCAATGAGTCGCCTGCATCGGAAGCCAAAGAGTCTGCAGCGAAAGATCCCGTTGCGTCCCCGACATCGCCCAAAGTCCAGGACCTTCACGTTGGCACTGACCTGGGAAGAAGTGGGGAGTTGAACCCGATTACCTACATCAGAGGAAATACTCCTGCGAATTCAGAGCCACAGCAGTCTTTCCCGGTGCAACCAGATGGGCCCCCCATGGATATGACTACCGGGACGCCGTTTCTAGAGACCACGTTAGCCAATCATCAACGCTGGGTGTGGGATTGCGCGTTCTCTGCAGATTCCGCCTATCTTGTCACCGTTTCGAGTGATCATTATGCGCGTCTGTGGGAGCTGGCCTCGGGTCAAATCATTCGCCAATACAGCGGGCATCACCGCGGGGCGGTATGTGTCGCATTGAACGACTATTCAGAGCCCCGTTGAGGTGGGGTAGAGTAGCCCAGTGGGATTCCGGGATTTTCGTGTGTCCTACTACATGTCCATGTTCATGATCTGTTCATTCTTTTTGTCTCGATTGATTCAATTGTTCCTTGGTTAGCATGGCGCCTGGTATCTGGAGGAAAGCTTTTACTACCGCTTGATACGGGTGTTTCGGTTGTCACCCTTAGCTTATCCGTTCTAATGATTTTTCTTCGGACTTCTTCATTGTCTATTCATGGAAATGGGCGGATTTTAAATAGTGGCATTGAATTTGGTGACTCGATTGGATGAATGCATTCGTTGGTGCAACCTTAGTTGACCTCTTCCCACCCTAGTGTGCTGGAGAGTTGACTTCTATAGGTCTCGGCACCTGAAGAGCTGATACAGATTGCGACAATTCTTGAACTAAGGGATATCGTAGTCAACATTGTTCTTGTACATCAAGCCTCTGAGAACATATAACAGGTGAAGGCATGCGAAAACAAGCGCACAGTCGTAGAATAAATGAAGATGAAACGGAAGTCACATCAGAACGGAACGTTGAACTTTCAAAAGCTTCAAACAAAATTGGCGTCTTCCTTTCTTTCACTTTATAGATTTCTTGATCTGAATGAGACTAGCCCAGAGCAAACCATGTCACACTGACGACGACATCGAGGCCCCGCTCTTCAGCCCCGGGATACTTGAATGTCCACATTCCATCGCGGTTGACGTCCCAGAAGGCGCCCGAGGCAGAGTGCATACCACGCTTGCCGGCATTGCTGACCGCACCGTCCGCTGCGGAAGACTTATCGATCAAGCCTTGTTGAACAATGGTGCTGTTGACAGTGAAGCGGTATGGAGGTGATGTCGCAGGAGTCTCTGGTGCGGTAGCTGCAATGAGGGCCTTGAGGATAGTGTTCTATCGAATCAAAGGATTATAAATCAGACATGCTCTTGGTAGTCAACGTGCCTGAGCGCATATCAGCTGCCGCAGGTTGATATACTCACAATGATCTGGGAGTTCCATTCGCCGACCTTGGCGTGCTCGTAACCCTCGGCGCTCTTCAGGGCCGCATCACAAGCCTTGGATCGACCTGTCAGTACAAGTATAATGCCCAAATGGAGATCTTTACTAATGTAACGTATGCAAGTCGATCACACAATGGCTACTATTGACGGAGTGGAAGAGGCAATCAACGTACATCTGTGGCGATCTTGGTGAGCTCCGGAATGGGTATGGGCTAAAAGATAGAGTAAAAGTCAGTCAGTATCCGCGACCAAAAGGGTATTATTTGAATGAAAGACAAATTTCGATGCGGAACGTCGCAGATGATGCTGCTAAGAATGATATGGTTGGTCACGCACAGAAACAGGTCCCTGCTCGACAGCCATTGTATATAAGGTTTCGTGTAGAAGGCGTTCACAATCGTGATACGTGAGCTAAAGCGCTATAGTCAGCAGGTATATCACTTCGGGAGCCTTTAAACTGCCGCGCAGGTCGAGGGAATGCGGCGTAACCGCGAATGCTGGAGGTGCGATTGCGGGGGGAATGAGACCGCTGTTCGGAGCTAGTCAAACAAATCAATTGACAGGATCCAGGTCCAGTTTAAGCTTACCAGGTGGAGTACAGGTATGCAGGAAATTTAGATAACCAGATATGGATAGCTCTGCAGGAAACGGGAGAAGTGAAAAGGTTAGGAGGTCACAGCCGATGTGCTTTGAATGTTTGGGGTCGAGACAACATCGGAGTCTGTGGCATCATGGGTGTGGCTTGGCGGTCGATGATTGGACAATGAAGTGTGCCAAGCTATTCCAGAACCAGCTTAGCCTCTACTTTATCTCCAACCGTCACCGCCACAAGGACACGGCAGAATGATATTCCATGTCGAGGCCTCAGGCAATTAAAGCACAGCAAACAGATGGAGCACGTGGGAACCCTTGGGCGGTCGAATTGGGCAGAAGCATCATCAGCGTCATGCACTAGTCTTCTTTTAGCTAGCATTTGACCGCTTGTGATACCGGGAGGGGTATTTCTCCCGATTAGTCTCAGTCCAGCCACTCTTAGTTGTCTAAGTTACATCAGTCCAGCCAGCGCCCATATATTACCTCCTTGCGACCATTATTATAGCTTCCTTTGGGCTGTGGTGTCTTCCTCTCTTAGCAAAAATTTTTTTCCTTCTGATTGTATTCTTCCATATAAGCTGCAGGATATCAGTGATCACGTAGCTACGTGTTGCCAACCATTGATCATATTGTTCCTCGTCGAATCCTTCCTTGGTAGCTCTCTTAGCACTCCCACCTGCCTTAGTGCTCCCATTTCATTACCAACTTTTCACATTCACCAATAATGTCGAGTCAACCTCTCCTGCAGACTGCTCCAGGTATGTGTCATGGTAGTAATTGGGTCCTCCATTTGGATCGCCGTGTACTTACTCATCACCCGTCGATACAGGCAAGCGAATTGCCCTCCCGACCCGGGTAGAACCCAAGGTCTTCTTTGCCAATGAACGTACCTTTCTCTCGTGGCTCAACTTCACGGTGATCCTGGGCGGACTGGCCGTTGGCCTGCTCAACTTTGGCGACCGCGTTGGCCGCATCTCCGCCGGATTGTTCACGATCATCGCAATGGCAGCCATGTTATACGCCCTTTTCACATTTCACTGGCGGGCGCAGAGTATTCGGCGGCGTGGGCAGAGTGGAATTGACGACCGGTACGGTCCCACTGTACTGGCATTGTCGCTGCTGGCGGCTGTCGTGGTCAACTTTATCCTCCGTATGAAGGTGGACTGAAGATCGTCTTGCGGGTTTGTGCCGGTCGATCTTTTTTACCTGCCTGTAAATGTCCTCACAACACATTCTCTTTGGGTCAACCGATAAGCCGACGATCCTTCCGCGATTGGTGTTTTGTATAACACTGCAACAAAAGTTCAAGCAACCTGAACGATGACGACTTCTACTTATGTGCCAAGAGCTGCGAGCCAGGTCTTTAATAGGTTTTCTTGTCTAGGATTTCGTTTGACGCCGCATGTATCTTATGGTTCAGCCCGGGGATTTCGTCTCGCCTTTTATGTCCGCTTCGACCAAGGGACTCCGAATGAGGGTGCCCTGGATGGTAGAGGCTTCAGGTGGCAGGTCCCGGGAGATGAAAGCACATTGTCTGTTACATGAAATATCTGTCCAAACTCAGAAACGATTCTCGCTCGTCCGCTGCAGATATTCTTCCCAAAGAAACGTTTCGAGGGTCCAGTACCCTGCCTATTTCCCTGCGCATTAGCCGTCCCATTGTCTTTGTACTTGGTCGTCCAGTAGCAACTCCTCCAAGCATGCCTTGCCCAGGCTGCACATGTGGTGGCAATTCCCAGAACGTCCCAGGGCCCCCGCCTGAATTTTTTGGTCATCAAGAGAGGGCGATCATCCAGTTAGCCGTGGGAATTGGAACTTGATGATCAATTGAAGGAAGTTCGGTTCGGAGTTCGAAGGTCGGAGGTCGGTATAGTCTGACGTGATGGAGCAACATTAGCTCTCATCGCTGAACCTCGATACTTCTTCTGTTCAAAACACGTCGGTTGTGCGCTGCAGACATTTTGAGGAGCCTGTCTGGCGTAGAGGAGCATAGCAGGCGGTAGAGCGTGGGATGCAGAGTTGTAACGACGAAGGCTTCATTGTCTATCCAATAACCATGGTGCAAGCTTGACTTTAGCCCGATTTCTTGACTGTAGAGTCGCTTGAAACCAATTCGAGTACTCAGGCTTTTCGAGCACTTGTTCAAAAAGTGTCTGATTGCCTTTGGGTGTCTTGCTTCGCTTATATGGGTCTGATCTGCAATAGCTGGTGGAGAGATATTATGGTAATGCGGGGGTTCGATCTAGTTATGTATTTTTGAGATAATTTCATCACTAACAGTCCAGAGACTTTCACGGACACGATCATAGTATCCGTCTCTGAAGAGTTTTGATTGGATTAATGTTAGTGTTCGTCTTCTCTATCTGGTGGTAGACCTCTTTTGTTACTTTACTACAGTAGAGAGGTAAATATAGTCGCAAAGCCAAAGCATGGAGCCTCGAACCAAACCTATTACATCTATAGCCGCTATCAGCACATGCAAAGAGGGAATTATTTGTGCTGGGTACCTAGTAGGCATGGCGGCAATTTGATTCGTTGTGACCGAGGTGGCGATGCAGTACCTATGATTGATCCATGCCTCTTCAGGTAAGGCTGTATGTGCCTTAGACAGAGAGGTACCACTCTACCTACTAGGTAGAAAGTCATGTAGTTAGTTAGATAAGTAAATACGGAGTAGACGGCCTATCTCACGATTCGAGTATAGTGGAGGTACGGAAGGAAAGGCCGTGTCTGTTGTTCCAAAATCCGACGCGGCCATAAGCAAACCTGAATCCGTACTTTTTAACCAGCCGAAGCCAAGCTGGACTCCGCAGCAGCGCCGAATAATATGGGCCAGTCCAGGCCCCAGATCACATCAGAGGATCCACTGGGGATGTATCCTGTTTCTCTAAATCGGAGCAAAGTAATCTGATTTGACAGGTCATTATTTCTGACTACTATAGCCTGTTGGAACTTTGGAACAAGTCAACCGCCTGTTATCTAGCCTGTTACAGTAGATAGGCACCTTAGCTACCTAGGCATCTAAGCATAGGATGTTGTCGCTCAAAAGTAAGATGAGATGACCAGGTAACTTAGGTGACAACATTGATGATAATAATACAGTAATAATAGTTACATGGTGTTCGTACTTTCTTTGGGTTTGTTAGCGATAATAATGTCTCAATTCGAAAGTCTGTCTTCTGAGGTAGGTTTATTTTTATTATTGACTGCTAAGACGACGACTAGATAACTGTAACTGTCTAACTGATCACCAAACTCCAAACTCCGCGCTATTACTCCGTACTCTGCTGTGTATTGTGCTTCCATGTTCCATCTGAATCAATCAATCAATCAACCAAGCTGATCTCAATTCCCCGTTTTGCATTCCTGGTTCCCTCCCCTCCCCCCCTCCTCTCTTCGCCCAAAAGCCCAACAGATCTCTTACATAGACTACGCAGCCATCTCCCTTCTCCTTCTGTCACTCTCCAAGCACGATTCCATCCTCAACTACTACGAGATAGTCTGGAGACTTCCCTCTTGTTTGAACTCTCTCCTCATCGGTCAGTGGAGCTACTCCGTACCTGGACAGCCTATCTGTCCATCAACCATCGTAACTCCTGTCACTCTCGTCACACTACAACCCAAGTCACCCAACCGACAGTTGCTCGAGTCTGTTCCTGGTCCCTGTCCTAATTGCAACATATTGCATTTTACTACTCCTGACGTTCTCCGTTATTTGTTGCTGTTTGTTTCATGCCCTTATTATTATTGCTCTTGTTGATGTTATATCCTTGTTGTTGTTATTATTAATCATAGATTACGCCACTCTCAACCCACTCCATCCATCCATCGCCCATCCTTCAGCGTCATCATTCCCCGTATTCCCTCATCTCAAGCCGTGGTTGAGTTCAGCTTACCCCTTCTGCCTGTTTTCCCACCTTCTCGTCCTGCATATGAGTCGCTGAGAGCCTTGAGAGGTCCTTGATTGACACTTGATTCCTTATCTCTGATAATTACTTTACCTAAATTATTATCCTTCTTTGTCCCTATCCCCCCCGGGGCTTTCCTCTGGTTTGCCGTCTCACTTTCCGATTCCCCCCCCCCCCTTGCTTTGTCTGCTCTGCTTCTTCTGAGCTCTGACGGTCGCAAACGCCAATCGACATTCAAAAATTCAAGAACCATTCCTATTATCCCTTTGATCCGCAACATCCGTCCACCCCCTCTCCATCATTCACTTCTACCTTATTCCCTCTTAACTATCTAGAGTGCGTTCGCCTGCACCGGTGCATGGCCTCAACGCGCAGCAAACTACTAAATTTACACCTATTCTCCTCTTCTTCTATTCTGTCTATTCTTGTTTAGTCTAATATTCTTACGGTTCCCTACCCTTTCTTCCTTCCTTTTTCCCCTCCTATCACTATCGTGGCTTCTACTTTGGACGTGTCGCAAAGTTTCCACCACTCAACCTGATATATCAATATCCTGGCGTCCGATCATATTTCGCATGGCATGTTTCGGCTGCTTCCTTGGTCCTCTGCTCTCGGAGGAAATAAGGTGATGGCGGAGGAGCTCAAGATGCTTGCGATTTCGCCACACTGTGCTTCCCCGGGCCTCAATAGTATCGGATTGCCCCAACTGAAGCGCAAACGGTCTGATTCCAATGATGCAGCCGCTGTCGAAGATGCTCCTGTCGCGACAAAGTTACGATCTGATGACGCGTCGAGTAGTTCGCTTTCCGGCAAGAAGACCCTTTCTTCGACTGTAAACGGTGAACCTGCGGTGTCGCGAAATTCGGCATCCCTCGGAGATAGTCCTTCGAACAGTTCCGTATCGAAGTCATCCAAGTCACCCCGTCGTCGCCAGAGTTCGAGCTCGTCCAGTTCCATCGTCGCCGATAAAACAGCCGCGCCGCGCAAGGTTGACGTGGACACACTAAGAGAGACATTAGAAGCGCAGCTGAGCTTGGAGGTGCTGTTAAAGCACAATGAACTGCGCTTGATCGACCAGGAGATCGCAAAATGCCAGATTGCGCTGGAACAACTGCGCCGGTGCGCCGAGATACCATATCCTGGATCTCACGTCGCTGGCGTGTCGCAGTCTGTGAGTAACGGCACAGGTATGGCAGTACGGGCTCCTGGAGACGGTGTGGCGCCGATATCCCCAGCTCCATGGGGTGTCACAGACGGTCCTTATACGCGACATTATGCGCGATGGCTCATGCCTGATCCGCGTTTTGACGGAGGCGAATTCGAGTCAGGGACTCCCCTGACTCCGGGCGCTCTTGGCACTGCGCTGGCCGAGGGTCGTTCGACTCGTGGCAATCCTATCGATGGAGGCTATCTCGCCGGCAAATCTCGTCCCCAAAGAGGCTCAGCTGGAGCCAAATTGCAGTCCCTCCCCAGTGGATATCCCACCCCCAAAGAAAAGGCTGGCCCTATGATTATCCGGCGAAAGTCGGACGGTGTCCTTGTCAAGCTTATCTGCTTGGATTGTCGGAGGGATAATTTCTCGAGCACTCAGGGCTTCATCAACCACTGTCGCATCGCTCATAACCGAAATTTTGCCAGTCACGATGCCGCCGCGATGGCCTCGGGCGAGCCTGTCGAGGTAGATGAGGCAGGTGCTGTTGTCCCTGGAAAAAACGAAACTCCCAGCACGACTGCGGCTGGCTTCGTTCACCCACTTATTCGATCTGCGCATGTAATCGAGCAATCGACCAAGTCGGCCTCATCGGTCCCGGAAGGTGCCGGTGACACTACGACGCCGCGAAGACACTCTGTCGCCAGCCGACGGGCATCGTCTGCGGTGGAGACACCGTCTATGCATTCCCAAGCAGGCAAGCGAACCACGTCCGTGGGGGGGCAAGCCTCCCATCACAACTCGTTCACAGGGTCTCCTGATACCCCACATCTTTCCTCTCTTATGCAGCGCAGGGGTGTAGGGCTTGACCTGGATCAATTAGTGGGCGAAGCGAAAACCACTATGGATCTCGAAGCTTATTCATCGGGGGCCGAGTCGGAAGATGACCCAGCAGAAACATCTGTAGACGCTGCGACACAAGCTCAGAAACCCCTTGGAAATCGCGCCGTTAGACAGTCAATGCGAACGACGGGATCTAAAACCGCATCTCAGCGGCCCGGAAGCCGCAAGGGATTTGATAATACAAATCACCACTCTCCATCTCTGAA